TTATTTATGTGTATAGGTAATAGGTATGTATTATTATTTTTGAAATATTGTGTCGTGGACTCACAGATTCTACCAAATTTACCATTAGAGACATTGCATTTGTTATAAGAATTACAATGGTAATCACAATTTAAATTATACACATGATATCTAAAGTCAAGGATTTCTAGGAATTGTTTACTTCGATGGACATTTTGGAAGATTCGTGCGTTTTAGCAATCACAATATTAAAGATATTGTTCAAATCATTAAAATAATGACTAGCTTGGATATCCTTATACACAAAAACAATTAATAAGAATAAGCAATTTTAATAGCCTCCAGTCCAGGAAAAAAGGTAAAGGGAATACCATATAATATAAGGAACACAAAACACACCATTTCCAGATGTGCCTTCAATAAACATCTAAGCCCAATCGTGCCATGCTATTAAATTATATATCTTATATTAACCATAACCATACATATTTAATCGCAATATTAACATAATATTAAACTTGTGTTTAATTTAATGTATTGTTATTCAACTCTACTATTTATAGGTAATCTACTATTAGTTAACCCCGACTTTTTATCGAATATTGTATATTCGACAGTTGCGATCGATCAGAACGTGACAATAGTCTTATAATATGAGTATTATGATAGAATGTAGGCAAGTATCTACTTAGTTATAAAGTCATGTATAGCTTTAWTTAATATTTTTGTAAATATTTTGTATCGCATATGGGTCGATATACATTTTTGAATTGCGGATGTATTTCAGAAAACACAATTTTAAAAATATTTTTCATAAGTACAATTTTTAATTTATTACAAAATTACCTTTTTTACTATTTTTTTATTGTTAAAATGTTAAAAATTGTACGCGCTTGAAAGACAACTTACACTAATTTAATACTCCTAATCAGAATATTATTCGAAGTATTTCAATTGAATTAAAATTTTGAAGATGTACGTATAGCTATATTCTTATTTTATTGTTACTTTGTAGTTTGTTAGTTATAACTCGTCCAAATTTCAATTCGTGTACTTCAGTCTTCTATGTACTGCAAAAAATATTCTGCTCTGGAATAAGGAATTAAAATTGCATGTTAAAAAGGTAAACGAAAAATATATATCGATACAAATAGTAAATAATACATACATTGTATTTTAACTATWTAAAATTATATAAAATGTATTTTTAAACACGGAAATAATGAGTGTTTGGATCACTCGGTATGGTGGTATCTATTTAATTATAAGAGGTTTATAAC